CTGATATGAGAAATTCACAAATGCGCTTTTTAAGCTGTGCAGTTGGGCTGTTTGGCCTTAGGCTCCCCAAGCGGTTCAAAACGAAATCACTGCTCTAGAGCAGATAAATGATTTGCTGAAGTGTATGGTAAAGATATTGCTGTGTGTTCGACTGAACGCTTCGCATCTGAATATCTAAGTCGATCATGGTCAAGGTCAGGCACCAAAATAACCAAGGACATGCTCGCATCCTGATGAACAATAGAAATACGGCTCGATTTGTGTCCTACAATGACTGAAACGGGGTTACACGTACCGTGATATAAAGGGGTGAGTACACAAGATGGTGTGACAACACAATGGTGTGGCTACACCTTCACAAGAAGCCACTACGTGGTGGGACTGCCAGTAGTTAAGCTCATCAATCAGGTTTTTCTATTTGATTAGTAAACCTAAGGATTTAGATATAGGCGGCTCTGCTGCAAATAAAATTGATAAATAAAATTTTAATTCTGAGCAGACGAGTGTATTCGCCTTGGTTAAGGTTTTGGGTACTCCTGGAGGTAGCGAATTGCGATCCGCTACACTCGTATTGGATCTGGTATAGAACGTAAGGTCTGTGATCTTAGCTTAGCTGCATCGAAGCAAAGGAGCTCGGCAGCCTTGCTGCAGTTTATCTTATTATCTGTTCAACGATGGACATGTCAAATTTAGTGCCAAGCACCGCATATACCCAGCACAACTATATATCAGAGAGCGGATTTCAATTAAAACAATGAGCAGCCGCAAGCTATGTGTCAGGTGGTAACATCAAGATCAACAGTGTAACTGATAGTAGCGAGATGGAATATCGGTTGCCAAAGCTCCACATAGTACCACAAAGCCGGTCTTACCCGATGCATCCAGTCGTGGCTTATAAAAAGAATCCAATAGAATATACGTTAAAATTTAGCCGGAACTGACAGATTTTATAAGGCATGGGCGCGTGCAGTAAGCGTTTAAACAACTGACGCGATCTACACGCGCGCTGATCAGGTTTTGCCCATGCGTTCATCTTATGCAACCGGTGCAAAGCTCTTACCGAGCCATATGACAGCTTCCTTTACCTTACAAAGTTGGCCACTTAAGGGGGGGATCATGTGCCTACAAAAGGACTTGAGAGCCCCATTAGGAACCAACACACACTACATGTCAAGTGAGTCTGTGCTGCCGAGCCGAGCGATCTGGTAAAGCGAAACTTACTCAATAACTGCTTAATTCACAAGCACAAACAGTGCAAAACATGCCCCGCCCAGTTCGTACTCTCTACTAACGCTTCAGCAATAAGTTACGTCTACATCAACATGCTACATATCAAAGTTAAGGCGTCGTTTAAGCATATCATTCTCTACATTGACCCGACCCGGCTTTCACTTTCCTTTTTAGCCGCAGGTATAATCAGTAAAAACGAGTTATCATTGTTTCATTTTATGCAACAGATGTGATGAAGACTTCGCTGTGGACAACGACGCATTATCCGTAAAGATTAAACATGGCTGAAAATCAGACAAAATGTCTCCTGATCTTGACAAGAACACGTCTAATCGCAGCGACTTCTTGTCACGAATTGGACATTACTCTTTTGCACCTTTAACTAAATTAAATTTATGTGATGACGCATTTACGCCCCTTGTCATTTGATGGGTGCAAGAGCTTATGACAAGGGCTGAAGCGTTACAGACGACGTGAAATGGCCGGAGCAGATTTGTTGCGCTAAAATTGGTGAAACTTGTCTAAAAGCCGCTTGTCCCTCAGCTTCATGAACGTTCTTCTAAGAGAACTCGGACGGGTCAGGCCACGTCAGTATGATTTGCAATACACCTGAGCAAGTAATTGACTAGACCAAGCGAGTTCCTTCCATTTTTTCAGTGAATCTGGCACTGGCCAATCTAGTATTGCCTTATTTGCTTGCTTGGAGACCACGATTTGTAATGAAGGGTAACATAATGTGATTTTGTCGGCGCCAAAGTCACACTTGTTGATACTGGCAAATAGATTCACTAAACTCTTTTGCTCCGGCAGAACTTGCAAGCGTTTGATGGGAATGTGCACATCCGATTCCTCGAATTCTGAACTTCTAATAATAAACATATTGTCGAAATAGGTTTGTGCATAGGTACTATGTGACTTGGTGGTTGCACCACCAGACTATGAAGAGGTGCTAATGCGTTAGACAGTCCCTCTGGCTTTTCAGCCATTCCCAGAGCATCCCGCCCGAAGTTCTCATATGGCGTCATCGCCCTCAAGAGCACTTCAAGAACCCATCAGTTAGGTGAACGTGCGCCGGAATAGTGGTTACATTTTGCAATGCTGACAAATATAGTCAGCACCGGATGAGAGAGTTACTCTTTTCCACTGGTACTGCTTGGTGCTTTGAACAAAAAAAAATGAGACGTCACACCGTTCCCTTGGTAAGGGTCGGTGGCG